GAAAAGGGTCGGTGCTTAAAACCTGGAACACAGGGCAGCTTTTAAGGAGCACTTTCTAAGTGGTCTTATTTACCCGTTTAGTGCTTGGCTATATTCCTGGTCAACATCTTATTCTACATGAACATTATGAATTTCGACCTCCAAGTATTTCGACCCTGAACAATTATGGTTTCGAAACGATCGATATACGATTATTTGGAGAGAAGTTAGAAATTTATTTCGTACGTCTTATAATAAAATATAAAAATTTCTGTAATTTACTGCAATTCACAATTGGTATATATATGTTCGGTTAAAGTATTGATTAACCAAGTAGTGATATCTGAAAGATGAAATCGTGAAATTCGTGCAATGGATGAATGACAATTTAATACAATTTTTTAATGAAATATAACAATTTCTGTAATTTACTATAATTCACGATTGATATATATATATATGTGTGTGTCCGGTTAAAGTATTGATTAATCAAGGAGTGATATTTGAAAGATGAAATGAGATTCGTGCAACAGATAAATGATTCGAAATTATTGCATGAAACTTGTTATATAACAATTTAATAAAATTTTTTAATAAAATATAACAATTTCTGTAATTCACGATTGATATATATATGTTTGATTAAAGTATTGATTAAGGAAGGACTGATATCTGAAAGATGAAATGAGATTCGTGGAATGGATGAATGATTCGAAATTATTGCATGAAACTTGTTATATAACAATTTAATAAAATTTTTTAATAAAATATAACAATTTCTGTAATTCACGATTGATATATATATGTTCGGTTAAAGTATTGATTAAGGAAGGAGTGATATCTGAAAGATGAAATGAGATTCGTGCAATGGATGAATGATTCGAAATTAATGCATGAAACTTGTTGAAAGTATTATTAATGCATCGTTGAATGAGGTCTGAGACTCGTTCGCCTGAGTTTATTTTCCCAGAGATTCGATCGTGGAAATCAGAATTCCAGCAATGGTGGCCATAAAGAGGCGATGATAAAAATGCAAAATTTATTCAAATGTATTAAAATCAGGTTTATCGAAGGTGAATTTCTTCGTCGCATAACAAGCAGCCATTTTTGGGGAAACAAACGCGAAGGAGACTAGGCATTAGTATGTGCAAGTGCTCCCTGAGCGTTCGGGTGTTATCTCGCATAGTAAATCGCAATTAAACTAAATCCCGAATCGCTGCTTATCCACGGGGAAACACGGACTTTCGCTCGCGCGGTCCCCGACCTTTTAAATCTGCCCGGGCGTGATCTTGCATTCTTTACAGACTTTTGGAAGAAAAAGAGCGTAAGTGATCCACGGACCCGTATAATTGAGAGAGGACGTTCGAACCGACCGAATGGCTCTCTGTTAAGAGGCTAAACGGAAAACCGAACGCAACTATTCGCGAAAAACATTCATCGATATTAACCCATCGAATGCTATATTACAATTTTACTATTTAGATCGATAGATCAACCCTTTGTCATCTTACTGGGCTTTAACAATATTTACTTTAACCTATTATTGCCTGGAAAATATTTTTTCACGTAGAATAACTTACTTCGAGATGTATTAATGCAAGCATAAATTGTTGATAGAAAATTTGAAATGTATGACAATACAAATTTTTTCTTTATAATATAGAACACATTAAAAAACTCATTTGAGTAGTTCTCTTGCAGAGAATTAAAAAAATTTTAAATTATACTGTGAAGTTGAAAAATTACTAAGTACAATTAACAGATCTCAGAATGGTAATTACTTTTGAGCTTTCCACTGTTGAAATAATAAAACTATCCATGGATCTCCTAACCTTGATAATTATTTATTTTTTCCTGTTTTTGTTCTGTTTAATTTTTCAGGAATACGTTAAACAATTCCAAACTTGGGATTTTTTATTCCATACACAATATCTTATATATTTCCTAAAATAATAATAATATATATTTTTAAAATTAATTACGAAAAAATCCAATGCTTGTTAGAGAAAATATAAATTCTATCCTGCATTAAGAATTTTACCATAAAGATATGAATATTAACAGACCATTCGATGAACAAAGTAGGTAATGTATTAAATTAATAACGTATATTAATATCTTGTGTACGTTATAGACACGCATTCTGCGTATAATACGTACACCGAAGTTGTAATTAAATTTTTAATTACAAGCGTCGTTTAACAAAATTACAACGGCCAATATTTCGCGACACTAATTTGATAACAGTGCACTATGTACACGATTTAGAGGCAATTAACGATTAATGGCGCCGGGTGATTGTTCGAAAAATTATATTTTCAAGCAAAGTCTCGCGAACAAGGTACTACGCGACGAACCATAATGTTACAGATTCGATGGTTTCGATGGTCAATCGTCGAATAAACAAGCCCCTAATTCGTGACGTTAATTACTCCATAGAAATTGATTTCACCAAGGAATTGCTATCAGAGTGGCTCAACAATTGGGACTACATAGTGTACGAGTGACAAAACCGCGTACAAAAATTACAAAATGGATCGAACCACGTGTTTGTTGCGCCTGGTGGGGATGATTTAAATTTTCCCCGACATCGGCGAGCATGCGTTAGGGATCGACGTTGTCGCGACGCGATGATCGATATCGCTTTTAGGAAAGTTTCAGGTTGCACGGCATTAACGGATTAACAGCGCGGAAAGTGTAGCGGTGTAAAAAGCTGATTGCAAAAAGGGGATGGCGCCGGTATCGCGATTAATTGGATTGTACGTCGGGGTCCGTACCGTTCGCGAGACGTGAAATATTTGTGAAATATTGGATGTCGCGGGTACAATAATAAATCATGCTTTCCGATGGTAACTGAAAACAGTGTTATTAAAATTCGACGGTGTTATCGAACAGTACCGGTATATTAAAAATAACCGTTCGCTGGACGATCGTCGCTACAAGTTTTATTATCGTCGTTAACATCCGAACTTCTGTTATTGCATTAAGCATTGTTGCTCAAGAGTGGAAGATCGTGCTTCCGTTATTGCGTTAAATATTACCGAAGAGTGGAATTCCATGTCGCGACAGGATAAGGAACATTGAATCTCAGAGGCAGTCGCGAAAGACTGATCGTATTTTCGATATTCTGACAACCGTGTATTGAGACGAGCAACTTTTCTGTTTGTAATTTATAATTGACGATTTTAAATTATGAACGATTTTATATTGGTGATTTGTGTTCCTCAGGAATAATTGTTTTCGTTTTAAATTGTGCTTATTTCGACTTCAAAGGGGGATTCTTTATTCTTATTCGTTGAAATCTTTATAATTATCGACTACTCGACTATTTTAATTATAGACTACTCGAAGAAATTCACGAAGGGAAGTTGATCAAAATTCGTAGCTACAAAATGTCTAAATAGAAACAGAATTATAATTCTTAACTGTAATTAATTGTAAAATTGACGATTTTAAATTGATGATTTGAATTCTTGACGAATAATTGTGCTTATTTCGATTTCAAAGAGGGACCTTTTATTCTTATTCGTTAAAATTCTTTAAATTATCAAATTACTCAAAGAAATTCACGGAGGGGAGATGTTAAAAATTTGTAACTACAAAATGCCTAAATAGAAACAGAATTATAATTCTTATCTGTAATTAATTGTAAAATTGACGACTTTAAATTGGTGATTTTAGTCCCTAAAGAATAATTGTTTTCGTTTTAAATTGTGCTTATTTCGATTTCGAAGAGGTATCTTTTATTCTTACTCATTGAAATCCTTTAAATTATTGGACTATTTGAAGAAATTCACAGAGTTGTTAAAAATTCATAGCTACAAAATGTCTAAATAGAAATACAATCATAATTCTTATCTGAAATTCTAATTAAGCGATTAACTTTTATTATTGTCTGAAATTCGTCATTGAAATTGTGTCCCACATGCTACGGGACACCGAGTATAACAGGGTACAGAGCGTAACCTAACTTCCAAACTGAAACGGGCTGAAGGTACCGCTATATTTGATAGTGATCGATAATTCAGAGCATATAGTAAACCCAACTACCAGCATCAGTTGTATCCATATAGAACAGCATCCCAATTATTCTGTTCATTACCTTAATTACATTTCATTATCAAATAGATGATCAAGAGTTTGCAGATCGTCTACGCGGATATATTTTGCATACGAAGTTTGAACTCTATTTCATGCTGGAAACGTCACATGTCACGTGGATGATTCTCTGCAGTTTTGAATAAATAATAATTATTCCGAATATTGTACTTTCGAAATATAAAAATGAACTTTGATATTGTTTCGATCGAACTTGACTCGTCGATTCGTCAATATAAATTAATAATTCATTATTTTTGGAGTGTCCAATCTGATTTCAGTTTTGCAAATTCTAATATGATATGAAATTTTTGAAGCTGAAGGAACATGACTACTTTACAGAGTATTTCTTGGCATGAAATTTTTCAAAAAAAATCGCAATAAGAGAAATTAAAAAATTTACAGAGATAATCCTCGTTGAAATAAAAACGTATAATCCTTATTCACTCAACTGTTCCACATAATTTATAATAAAGTGACGTTATAATATCGCTGTAATACAGCTATTCACGCTCCGTGATTAAATAGAATTAATTACACCTAACGAGTTTCGTCGTCGGATTCGAAACCCAGTACGATTCCATCAGAAGAAGTCTAGCTTTGAAAATTATGGAGATAATATTAATACCTCGAAAGTGTGTCGACTCGGGAAGAAAATATCCACCTGTGTCTTTGTGCTCCGAGTACTTTTGTCAAGCAAATTCCGCGGTGCTATTGTTACAGGGATATTAAGGCGATAATGGTCGACCGTGTCCCCCGTGCGCTGTGGATTCGCATAAAAGCTCGATCCGCGGGGATCAAGATCGAAGCGATAAACGCGAAGGACGTACATACGTTCCAGCGTGTACGTAAACATCGGCCAACGAGATTTTCGTGCACGGGGTTGTAAACAAGAAAGCACCCCGTATGGTAAAATAACCTACCTTTCTCACAATAGGCGCCCTCGTAATCGTCGGACCGGCAATCGCAGATGGGTCCGCTATCGGTGGAAATACAGATTCCGTCGTGCTGGCAAGGATCATGAGTTTCACAGGCGTCCGTTGTATTGGCTGTCATCATGTTCCGTAAACTCTGCAACAGATAATGGAAAGTAACGTTATCGTCTCTGTTGGATATCAAAGCGTTGTGTAGATACCGTCCGGCGGGAACGCGGAAAGTGATGAAAAATCGCTATCGGCGAGTCCCGTGCATCGAAAGAGGAGAGTAATATGCGCCGGGAGCCTCGATCGTTTTCGATATTGATCGCTTTTACCGAACGCCCGGCTTCGAAAAAATTCCCGCCGTAAATATCAATTTACGTTGGACGATTCGTACCTCGCCTTATATTGCAGCCACGGTTCCATAGAGAATGGTAAATTATTGCTCTGGAGACGATGGACAAATTATAACTGACAAATGGGAACTTTGAAACGTCCAAGAAATCACGATTGAGTTTGTTAGATTCATAGAAAGATGTTTTTTTAATGATTCGTTTGGTTGGCTAATAATTTTGTGAATAAATGACGGTTTTTCTTTCAAAGTTTCTTTCAGAGAGGGGATTTATTTGTTTCTGGTTTTTAATGATCACCAGTTTGCTCTGTTGCAAATGATTTTTCACGATTTTTCAACCCCTTTCGATGATCTGATAAAAAAATGTTTCCTATCGAAGTTATTTAGTATTGCAGTTGCTTAAATTTAGAAACAAATTGATTTTCAATGGAAAATTAAGGTTACTGTTATATTTTTAAATGGAACTGGGTACTTTTAACTTCATAATATTGTAAACGAGGCCGAGACAAATTCAACGATCTGCTACACTGTGAGTTTCAGATGATATTAAAAGAAAAATTGCCTCCAATCGATTGCCACAATATTTGAAATTATTCGACGATATATAACAATAAGTTCTCGTATTTGGGCGTAAACAAATGAATGTAAACATTACGAATGCTTATGTATTCATCTTCAAAACTCAACCTACAAAATATAAAGAAAATTTCTACAAAATGTGTAGAAGTTTACAAAGAAGTTCTCTAATTGTAGCTGCACATAAAATTTTATTACAAAGAATAGAATTTTGCGTTGCAGAATATTTAATTCAACTACTAATTACATGCACCTTTTTAACATGCTTGTTTTCAGTTTGGTTTTATTTTGTGTGTTAAGTCCTGAAGTTGAATAAATGTAATGCTATTAATAAAGTAAATATTGTGGCAATTTTTCTTCCTATGAAGTTAAAAATACCCACTTCCGTTCAAAAATACAACAGTGATCTTAATTTTCTATCGAAAATCAATTTGTTGTTAAATTTAAGCAATTGTAATTTCTTGTAAATATTGATTAACTTCGATAGAAAGTATTTTTCTGTCAGATCATTGAAATGGGCTGAAAAATCGGGACTAATTCGTGCCTCATCCTGTATATTATTAGAAAATCGCGCTGTGCAATTAATATCGCAATTAAGAATTGTTCGAAAAATGGCGGGAAATAGTTAAGAGGCCACACACTACGTCCCTATCGATCAAAACTACAAAACATTGCCCGAACATTTATCAAAATTCCGTCTAAAATGAATACTCGACAAACATACATCCCGAATCGAACCGTCGCCCTTACAATATTTTTTTGTCGTCGAAACCCCTGAAATATTACATCCTTTTCGATTCGAAATAACAGAAGTATATCGAAACCCATCGTCCCAGCAAAATACTACTTTCTACATGATAGAAATATTACATCCCAATACGTTTCACGGAACCATTCATACAAGAGTTCCATGTCTGAAATCAAATTTGAATCCCAAAAATAACTGAGACGAAAATAAAACACTGCAATACATTATGCAGTATATTTACTCTGCTTTTCGTAAAATACGTAAAATCGTTTGTAAAGGATCATGAAAGTTAATTTGGAAAATTGAGCAATATTGTATTGCACTCTTTGAGAGGTAAATAGTTGATCAATGTTATATTAATAATGTGATAGTTGTGTGATTGATCCTGAGAGCACTGAAAATTATAGCCTTCCATCCTAGATCATTGTCCAGTATATTTACTCTGCTTTTCGTAAAATACGTAAAATCGTTTGTAAATAATCACGAAAGTTAATTTGGAAAATTGAGCAATGTTGTATTGCACTCTTCGAGAGATAAATCGTTGATGAATGTTACATTAATAATTGGTGTGATTGATCCTGAGAGCACTGAAAATTATAGCCTTCCATCCTAGATCATTGTCCAGTATATTTACTCTGTTTTTCGTAAAATACGTATTTGTAAACGATCATGAAAGTTAATTTGGAAAATTGAGCAATGTTGTATTGTACTCTTTGAGAGGTAAATAGTTGATCAATGTTATATTAATAATTGGTGTAACATTTGTGTGATTGATCCTGAGAGCACTGGAAACTATAGTGTTTCATCCTAGATCTCCTAGAGGACTTACAGATGAGGCTATTCGGTTGGAAACAGGCTTCCACAAGAGAAGCCACGGTTCGAACATATAATTTGCCAGAAAATGGCGGTTCTCATAGTACCGAGTTTGAACCATGGTTTCTCTTATAGAATCCTGTTTCCAACTAAGAGGCGTGTCTAAGGCCGTAATAGCTTATCGATGAGTCCCCTGGCGAACTCTCGCAATCAATAAATCCGCTCACGCGTATCTTCAATAAATAAATAAAAATTATTTCCTATCTCACGTCTATAGTTCCATGAATCATTCCTTAAAAATTTTAAGATCGCCTCTGGTGTCATTCTCATCAGGAAAATTTCACTGACCCCCTCCGACTCGGGGTTAAATCAAAGATTCGTCAAATTACAAAATTCCCTCTCTACACGTCGAGCAAAAAATTCCTGTCGATTTTTCACAGTCGTGAATTGTGCTCCGGGTACTTATAATTACTTCGTTCCGAGCAGTCAGCCACACCGCGAGCCCCGATGCATTATCGCGGGAATTCGAGACCAGTCCCGCCTCGATTCTTCGTCATCCCGAAAATGGCCAGGAGCCAACAACAGTGGAACGATCGACAGCTAGGTATAATAACGGAGTAGAACGATGCGGCTGTGACCCGGTGACCCACCTACGTGCACCCGTTGAGATCGTTCCCGGCGAACGAAGAAGCGAGAAATCACTTTTTCCGTCTTTAGAGGAACGCCTCCCCCCCCCCAGTTGGCTCTGGGGAGAAGCCCCGGATATGTAGGCCGTGTTCCGTTGCGAGAAACCAGCCCGCGGACTCATTTCAAAGATTACGGCCCCCGCGGAGGTGCTATGGGAAAACAAAGAAAAGAGCCCGGAGAGCCGGGAGTGGAAAAAAGTAGAAAAGAAGCCTGGATGCGGAGAACCAGGGGAGATTCGTTGCGGCGGTCCGCCGTATCCCGCTCGACGCGACGATATTCCAGCTAATTAAGGTGTATTTCGTTGAAAGTTTCCGCCGTGGGTTTACGCGGTCTGGTAAGGCGGTTGTCTGCCCCCGTGCTCGTACATTCGCGACTTTAATCCTCGGAAATTGTTTGGCCGCGAGACGCCGCCGCGGTTAACCCGCTCGTTTCGCCAGTCGAACAAAAGGACATCTTTTGGACGTTACGCGGGGTGGTTCTTAGTTTTCGATTATTCTTTTCTTTCGTTCAAATATTGGACCAGCAGGGACACGTTTAGATCGCAAACTTGGCGTTAGGGAACTCGTTGATATTGTTAGCAATTCATTTTGATGACACGATTGAAAGAAAAATTGCATTATTGCTAATTGGAGGGTTGAAAGACGTAGTGGTGTAAGATACATTTTCAGCTATTCTGGGTAAAATGATGTTTTGTGTTCATTGTTAGCAATTTATTTTGATGACACGATTGGAAGAAAAATTGCATTATTGCGAATTGGAGGGTTGAAAGACGTAGTGGTGCAAGTCACATTTTTAGCTATTCTGGGTAAAATGATGTTTTGTGTTCGTTGTTTGAAAAAATCTAGATACATGTTAAAGTTGTAAAAACACTTTAACAAGCTCAGAAATATATTTCTGTATAGAAAAATTGAAGGATTAAATTCTGGAGTGAAACAACCATCGAGATGGACTTATTCCACTGTTTCCACTATTCCATCATTTCGCATAAAATAATGTTTTGCAATCGTTGATTACAAAGATTCCAGATAAGTATTAGCGTTAAAAGAACATATCTAAAAGATACGTTAATGTAGAAAAGTGTTAAAAAATGTCTGTATATAAAAATAATTGAAGGATGTTTAAATTCTGGATTAAAATTTCAGAAACATATCGATTAATACAAATTTAGTAATGAACACATTTTTAATGAATAATAATTTTTAACGTACAATATAATAAAAAAATGTAATTTATTCAGGTCTAATAAACCATACAGCGAAATTGCAAAGCTAGGGAAGAAGCGATATTTTATAAAACTGTTTCGATAGTAATACACAAGTATGGGAATTCCCCGCGACCGACTGACGAATTCTACTTGGGGGTTCCCCTATGGTCGACCAGTACTCCAGCGTAAAGCGCCATCTACAGCGGCCATAAACGTGCCACATATAATATAACGTATAATATAGTATTTAATTTTTATGTAGAAGTATTAATAATAGAGCGTAAGGTGGACTTACAACATTATGGTTCGAAATGACAACTTTATTTAATGACAAAGTATGAACTTGCAAGTAAATCGATTTTGATGATAAATAGAAGACAGCTCGAAGGTTTCAAATCCAGTGTTAATTCAAATTTGAAGAATTTGGACTCACACCACTATGGCTCTCAACCCCCCCCCCAATTCTATTCAACTATTATACTAAACATCTACGCAAGTAGAATTTTAATTTAAAAATTGTCAAATTTTGACTCTATCCATAGAGTATCTTTTTAGAATTTTTGTCCGTCCAATTTGCTTCAGATTAACTCAAAATTTGCCCAATCGATTTTCATTAAACTTCCACCATTTTGCTCCGTATTTATCAAAAAATAAAATAGAATATTATAAAACTTCAAAATTGCTAGTGTAATGTAGCAAAATTTTCATTTGGGATCAGTTGTCGAAAACTATACATATGTAATTTATTAATTCTCGAATATAATAAAATTTGAA